AGGCTTGTTTTAGGTCTACAAGACAAGACTTTCAATTTTTTTCTTTAAATGTGAATGGTATATTGTTTGTTATTTTATTTTTTTAAAAAATAAAGCCAATGATGTGTCATCTTTCATGTAAAATGTTATTCGCTATCCCAAATTATAACTATCATAGAGGTGGTTAGAATATTGATCTAGAGTTTTTTTTTTAAAAAAAATCGTTCTTTAACTTATTTTCATATAAAAACAATAAACGCTCTTAAAATCTCAATAAACCAATTTCTCACTTAAGAAACCCAAAAATACATCTTTTTTTATTGTAATTTATTTTTTTCAATAATTTAAAATCTCAAAAGTACTTCAATAACACTCCTCTTATCAAGAGAAAAACACTAACAACAAAATTGTTTCTTTTTTGCTTTTATCTCCTTTTTATTTTCCAATGACTCTCTTTTTTTCTTCTTTCTTAAACTCAAGAATTGAAATGTGAATAAGAAGAAGTTTTGGATTAAAATGTAAAAGTTCTAAACTAAAAGGATCAAAAATGAATTTGAACAAATCTTGGAAGTAAATTTCTTTAAAAAGAAACTAGATGAAAAATATCAAAAAAGAAAAAAAAAACATGTTGTTTTACCTCAATTTTGGTCCCAATATTTTCAATTTTATTCAAAATTGAGTTTTAACTCAATATTGAAATATCCTTTTAACATCATAACAATCCTATAAAAAGTTAGTTAAAACAAATTATTAAACTCAATCTCAAATCAATACAATAAAAAATAATAAAATTGCAAACAAAAAACAATGATCAAAATAAAAAAATCAAAGAATTACATGAAGGAAAAAAAACTAATGAAATTCATAATGTTTTGCAAGGTCAACACAAAAATCACCACTTTTTTAGGGTTTTAGTAATTATTAAAGGTATTTAATTTCTTATCATAAATATTAATTTAACTAATTACTCTATAATTGTGATAGTTATTTTTAATAAAGTACAATTATGGTTTTAAAAGTAATTTGCTACCTTAGAAAAACAAAAAACAAATAGGCCTTTTGTTTTATAGTTTACTAGTTTAATTCCATGTGCTATATATTGTTGGATAAAATATTTTTTATTCAATGCTATAAAAGGTCAATGCTATAAAAGGTGCAAGTGTTGTTTTTTTTATCATGAAAAAATTGTTTTAACTACAAACTAAAAAGTTTATAAATGCGTTCAATAAAATAATTCAAAATATTATATGTGATAATAAATAATTATAAATTTGTTGGTTCTAACAAAAAAACAAGTAAAAAAAACAAAGATAACAATTTTATTTTTTAAAAGAAAAAAAATTGAATATTTGTTTTAGTTTGAAATTGATTCTTAAAATCTTAGTTGGTTTGAATCAATAAAACTAAATTTTATTTTTTCCATATCAAGTACTAACTCAATATTGAAATATATTCTTAACATTGTGAAAACACAACAAAAAATCAACTCAAATAAAATAATAAACATGATTTCAAGTTAACTCAATGTAAAGGGATTAAATTAAAAATAAAAACAAAAAAAATATTATAAGTAACTATTATAATCCATAATGGATTGTGTTATTTTCATGTGTTGTATTCCAATTATTTTTATCAATATGTTTTCTATTTTGCATTATCTTATGTGTTTATAATTCCAATAATTGTTTCATAGTTTACTAATGGCTAATTTTTCAAAAACAAAAAGATTTGGGCCGGTAAAAAAAGTTTGAAGGACCAATCAAGGACAAAAAAAAATAAAAATAAAAATAAAAAACTTAAGATGATTCACTATTCATGTAAATAGCATTCCCATTCCAAGTTTTTCATAGCATAGTATAGTTATATACTTACAAATAACCGAATACATTTCCTTATTAACCTAAAAAGTTTATTTATGTAGTTTCATAATTTGACCAATTTCTTCATGAAAAATCAATTATAAGTAATTATGAACATAGATGATTGTCCTTGGTATATTATATACCTTTGTGCTATTTTTTAAAAAAAATTAAATGTATTTAATTATAATAAGTTCAAATAATCCTAGAAATCACCATTTAATTATTAATTAATTAATACTCTAAAACATGTGGAAAAAGTACTGTAGCTTTTTTTACATGTTTTGTTTTCCTTATATTTTTTTGTTTTTTTTCAAGATTATCTTCTTCTTGTTTTTTTTATTCTTTTTTATTTCTATGTTTTTTTAAATTATCTTTGTCAAATATTTTTAATATTAAATTAGTTGAAAATTTAATTTTGTAACTTTTTATTTAAAACATTATGAATTATTATAATGTTTCCCTGCATAGTTTTTTTATGAATTTTTTTTTCAAAATGATCTTTATCAATTTGTTTTCATATTGAACTGGTTGAGATGTTAATTTGTTTTCATATTGAACTGGTTGAGAATTTTGTTTTGTAGTTTTTTTAAATATTGTGAATTGTTATAATATTTCCCTATATTGTTTTGTTTTGCTACAGTGTTTCCTCATATGTTTTTTTAATTATTTTTATTGATTTTTTTTTAATATTGAGCTGGTTGAAAATTTATTTTAAAAAAAACACTATGAATTGTTGCAGTGTTTTCTCATATGATTTTTTTCAAAATTATCTTTGACGATTTTTTTTTTAAATATTGAATTGGTTAAGAATTATAATTACAATAATGCTAAATTATATAGGGAAAGCGTTGTAGTCTTTTTCACAAAACGCTGTGAATTGCTACCATATAGTTTTCATTTTTTATTTTTATGATTTTTTAAAATTATCTTT